TCCCAGTCATAAGAGCGGAGTAACCTCTCGACCGGTGTAGCATCTGTAGCATGGTCTGTATAAGGCTGTCTGGCCTTAATCAAGGAGAGAAGCGAGCTGCAATGTTGGTAGACACTTAAAGTAAGGGTTTCCCAACAGACAGCAGCTGACCGCCTTCACCTGTCCTCAGGCGCCCTGGGCGTTGAGCTCACGACCGGGGTGTTAAGGAAAGAATTTAGCCTGAAATGGGGATGCAGGGCATCCCACTCCGGCTGGTAATACGAGCCAGGCTCAAACGTGCACACAAGCAAGCTTCAGGGGAGCTTCCTTTACTGCATGCTTTACCTCTGAATACGTTTGTATTTGCTTACACCTAACCTACTAAGGCAAAGAGAACGCTCCAGTGCTAGCTGCCGGCAGACCATGCTACAATCTGGGTAACGAGATTCCTCGATATTAACCTAGGGTCCCCGTGAGCTGCAAACCAGTCAAAAGCCAGGAGATTATTGCTGTCCAGAAGGAGTTGAGATACTCTCCAGGTCTCGTGGGACAGCTGCAACGTAGCACCAATCCCAGGCCCTTGGAACGTTATGCTCAGGAGAGATTAAGACGAGAAAGAAGGTGAGCTGCACTTTTGCAAAACTCAAGTATTTGCAACGCTGTTGTTATTTCTCTGTTCCTCTTCGTGGTTGGCGGATCTCGTGTTACGAAAACTATTGAGGCTTTCCGAAGACTGAGAAATAACAAAGGAAAAAGAGAGAGTGAGGCAACTATGATTTTGCTTTTATATTTGCTGCTGATTTTGACCTCATGAAGCATCGGAAGCCCGAGTCTGCTGCTGGTACCTGCTGCACACTACAAAGTATTCCAGGGCCGAATGCGGCGTTTTAATGCTGGTAGCATATTCTTTAAAAAGTGTACTGTTCCGCGGCCGCCGCACAGCGTCAAAGCTGTCGAGAAGCATGGTGATTCTGCACGTCCCAGTTTAGGTGCTGCTACGAGATATAGAGGGAAGGTACAATTAGAGGCGACCCATAGGTAAAGGAATTGGAGCATATCACAACAAAAAATAACTAATACTGGAGGGAAAGTATGAATAAACGCATGCACCCCTGAATTTACGCAGCGGAATTGTCCAAAAAGTCGTATGCACACCGCCGCTCAGTCGAGGAGAGCGTGCCCATGCTCTCGTGATGAAAGACGCTTGGTAGTTCGCTTAGTTTCTCCACCCAACGAACTACCGAACGTCGTTTATCCCTGTCCATTAATGGAACATTCTAGTTTTTTGCGGCATCGGCCAATTTTAACGCATCTGCTGTGCAGTTCCTCAGTCTTTTCCAGAAACTTCCCTTCGCTATGACGTTGCTGCTGTCTTGTGGGGAGAGTTTGGGGAAATTTCGGTGAGCGCTAGGCCGTTTGAGAAAACCGCCAAATTAGTAGTAGGATAAGATCTCCACACTTGGGCGAATCTGCGATGTAAGTCAGCTTGTCCGTGGATGATCCCGAGAACCAACAACGAAGGGCGCCACCCAACGCATTGGGGACTTTTTCGGTTGTTCCCATTCGTATGTGCTTCGAAGGGCTAGCTAATGCAGTAGAACCAAATCTCCTGGATTGAAGGTAGCTGCTGAACGCCGTTTGTCGCAGTTTGTTGCCTGGCTTCCCTAGGCCTTCCCTATGCATTCCTGCGCTAGAGCAAACTGCGTGTGAACGTGGGGGGCTGAGGGCGTACTTGCTGGCTTCTAACTGCCAACGCTGACGACGGGTCAGAGAATGGTGTATAGAATGATGAATAGACTAATGAATCCTGCAAGCGGTAAAGTATTGCTTCGACCTCAAGGATCGGAAAGATTTTTTTCAACGTGATTTTGTTGAGCGGCTTTAAGTCTATGCAGATTCGCCACTTCAAATACTTTTTATTCACCTACACCGAATGCTCCCCACACACGCTAGTTGGCAGCTGAGCTTTGCCCTTTCGTATCGGTTAGCTTGTTTGACCGTCACTTTATTAAAGACGTTGGGGTCCGAGATACGTTGGAACAAATCTTGCGGCGGCTTCGGGGATGAGCTCGACGCGGTGGATCGGGCGTCCAGCGGGGAGCGGCCTCGCTGGAAGTGCCCTCTTATTTGATACATCTGAAAACTCTGCCAGCAGTCATGCCCGTTTCTGCTATTTCTCCGATGTTAGACAAGTCGAGACCTCCAAAACTGTCGTCCTTCTAGGACTGTCATGACGGAGCGCATGTATCTTTGCGTCGTTCCTTGCAGCACCTCGTCTCTGGGTAGGAGCCTCCTCGCTTGCTTCCCTTGGGATACAGTTTCCACGCAGTTGCGGAAGGGAATGTAAACGCCGCGGGGATATATGCGGGCTATGCCCTCCCATTGGTATCCGGCATGTAGAGCACAATACCATCATCTTGTGGCTCAATGGAGGGCGTGTCCGCGACCCCATTGTGCCTAGGGTTATTATGCCACGGTGAAGTGCTCCAACGTATATGTCCTATATCATGGTAATACGAACCATCGCTGAATTGAGTTCTCATTACTTCCATATTTTTGCTGATTCGTGCTTCTTGTCGGCCACCCACGAAGTGAAACTCAGAGACTGAGCCAACGAATAGAAGGACAAAATGGACCCGCTCTCCGACGCCTCATATATAAGAATCACTTTGTATCCCGTATAAAGGAGCTCCACCAAGCCCTGAATATTAATGTGAACTTGTATACACTCAGATTTGACTCGAGGTGGACCTGCGGGTGCGGCCTCGCCACTGCACGACACAGTCCGTGGGGGCAATGCCAAGGCCCCCTGCGTCACCTTCTAGTAAACCAGATGCCGAAAACCTACTGTATATCTTCGGGAGTATCTAAATACGATTATAGAACCCAAGAGGATCGAGGAACTCCACTACTGCCTCCGCACTGCGCCGCCCGTCATTTGTGGACGGGCAAAGGCGGGCACAATCCATGAGTTGGTCGAGGTGTAAAGGCATTTTGAGCTCAGTCGTGTGCAGATACTAGACTTTTCTAGACGTGAGACGGCTTTTAGTCTTCGGTCACCTTCCCACTGGGTGGCAAGTTGTTGTCTATCTGCACTGCGCAAGAAGGGGACAGGGTGAGTTTGTGTTGAAGATTTTAGGAAACTATATAAGGTGTTCTATTTTTTTTTTCCGCCTAATCAGTGCTATGCGCAAGGCTACTCTGCTGGGGGGATGAGGCACATTGCTCACTCCTGTCCCCGTGAACTGTGCTGTGCTACCGTGCGTAACGTGAGTCGTTCAATCTTATGCGAAGACTCTCGCGAGCGGCATTAGAGTCAAAATACGTATACGTATAGCGGAACTCCAACGCAGTAACTGACTTCCTCTCCAACCACCAGACTCCCTGCGCATGGCGGCGCAATAGA